GCAGCAGCAGCAGCAGCAGCAGCAGCAGCAGCAGCAGCAGCAGCAGCAGCAGCAGCAGCAGCAGGAGTAGGGGTTTATATAGGAAAGTAGAACAGGCAGAAACAGCAGAAAAAAAATACACTAAACCCTCAATAAACACTAAACCCTCAATAAACCCTAAACCCTCAAAAAACCCTAAACCCTCACCAAACCCTAAACCCTCACCAAACCCTAAACCCTCACCAAACCCTAAACCCTAAACCCTAAACCCTAAACCCTCACCTGCACCGCGAGGAGAAACCCCCCAACCCTCGAGCTGGTCTTCTGGGTCTGACCAAAGGAGGTCGCACATGGGGCCCTCATGCGGCACCTCTTGGTGTCTGTGCATACACCCCAAACCCTAAACCCTAAACCCTAAACCCTAAACCCTAAACCCTAGAAAATTTGTAAACCCTTTTAAGCTCAGTGAGGTTTGGTATGTAGGGTTTAGGGTTTAGGGTTTAGGGTTTAAGTAGATATTGACATGCACGAAAAATACAAACCCCATATAAACCCCACTCTACTAACCCTAAACCCTCAAAACCCTAAACCCTAAACCCTAAACCCTAAACCCTAATAAACCCTAAACCCTACCTCTGTAGAGCCCGCACAGCATCAAGAGAATCGAGCTGCGGAGACAGCCCAGCATGGGGACAAAAAATTTGTCCCTCAATGAGGGCGCTGAGGGGTAAGTAGTCAAATACTCCTGCAAACCACAAACCCTAAACCCTAAACCCTAAACCCTAAACCCTAAACCCTAAACCCTAGACAGTAAACCCTCGGCGATAAGGAATCTAACGAACCCTCTATACACGGGGGAAAACGAAAAACATAAACCCTAAACCCTCAGATACTAATATATTACAAACCATAAACCCTAAACCCTAAACCCTAAACCCTAAACCCCAAACCCTAAACCCCAAACCCTAAACCCTAAACCCTAAACCCTAAACCCTAACCTGTGAGATGATTCCACACATTGGCGTTGCCGTATTTGCGGATGCATTCATCAAAAAACCCATACACCTAAAAAACAAAAAAAAAAAAAATAAAAAAATAAATAAATAAATAAATAAATAAAATAAAATAAAATATATAAAATAAAAAGAGACAAAAGGAGACAATAAGGAGACAAATACAGAAGAAAAAGAAAGAGAAATAAATAAAAAAGGAGACAAATTAAAATAAACCCTAAACCCTAAACCCTAAACCCTAAAAAATAAACAAAAAAGGAGACAAAGAAAATCAAAGACGTGCAGAAAAGGAGATAAACCCTAAACCCTAAACCCTAGAGTAAGGAGACAAAAAGAGGAAGCAAGCAAGGCCCATAAACCCTAAACCCTAAACCCTAAACCCTAAACCCTCACTTGTGTTATTTGTCGGCTTTCGTGGTTTCCCCTGATTATGGTGATGCGGTGGCGATACCGCACCTGTACACAAACCCTAAACCCTAAACCCTAAACCCTAAACCCTAACCCTAAACCCTAAACCCTCAAAACCCTAAACCCTAAACCCTAAACCCTCAGCCCTAGACCCAACGCCAGCAGCAGCAGAAACAAGAAGCCGATGATACCACCATGCTCTGAACTGTAAACCCTAAACCCTAAACCCTCAGCAGTAAACCCCAAACCCTAAACCCTAAACCCTAAACCCTAAACCCTCGTACCTTCAACAAGAAGACAAGGGTCACGCACTCTAAAGAGTTAAACCCTCGGTCTACATAATCCCCCAAAAAAAGAAAATTCACCGATGGGCACGCTGCACACAAACCCTAAACCCTAAACCCTAAACCCTAAACCCTCAAAACCCTAAACCCTAAACCCTAAACCCTCACTGCCCGCGCATTTGAACATTTGCATGAGGTCGTGGAACTGTCCGTGGATACTAAACCATACCACCCCTAAACCCTAAACCCTAAACCCTCAAAACCCTAAACCCTAAGCCCTAAACCCTCAAAACCCTAAACCCTAAACCCTAAACCCTAAACCCTCAAAACCCTAAACCCTAAACCCTAAACCCTCACTGCCCGCGCATTTGAACATTTGCATGAGGTCGTGGAACTGTCCGTGGATACTAAACCCTACCACCCCTAAACCCCAAACCCTAAACCCTAAACCATCAAAACCCTAAACCCTAAACCCTAAACCCTAAACCCTCAAAACCCTAAACCCTAAACCCTAAACCCTCA